GCTATGCCCTTGTAGAGTTCACTTAGACCCCAGCATCTACTTTACAGCATAACCCCAGTACTTTAGTATACCTCTGCCTTTTGTCCAGCCTTTTACCAAACTTTCAATCCAGATAGCCTATGTAGGACTATGACCAGTCCATCAGTATATCAGGTTGGCCCGATATCCTTTTCCTTTGGTTCATTCTGGCAGCCTGGTTAGTGGTACCCCCGGGACCCCAACCCAGAGGTTCTTGTCTGTCCAGCTATTATGACCGGATACTATGACCTTGGTATCCGTTTCCCCAGGCTAGCCTTTACAGTAGAGCCGTTGAAGATTCAGCTACCTCTCTACTCGGGTCTTCCCAAATGAACTTCTTGTTACCCAATTCCAATAGATTTACATGACTACAAGGACTTATCTAGTGTTTGCACCACTCAATTTTGGAGTTCCTTAAAGCAGGGCAGATCAATTAGAGTGACGGTCTATAGTTATGCAAGTCAATTGACTTTTGTGATTATTGACCAATTAAAGCTCGAGCACATTGATAGTAATACCTAAAGAACATTTTACAGGCTTTAATATTGTAATGAGAGAATTTTACTAAGCAAAATGTTTAAATTTCAAAAACAATTATAGCACTGAATCCCTTTACAACAAAACCTTATTTCTCAGGTGAGGAGTGATTGTAGTTTAATCAGTTTAATCATCAATCAAAATCTCTATTACTTTTTCATTTTTTACTTATGCAGTATCCAGTTTGTACTGTACGTAAGTACAGTATGCAATTTATTCGCAAAACAAATTTATTTTATAGAACTCAATTAAATAATATATCTGTTCTTTTATTATGTATTAATTATTAGTAAGTATATAGTTTATTTATAAAAAAATATGCAAGTTTTATCAGTAAAACACTATTAAATATTGTAAGTAAGTATATAGTTTATTTACAATACAAGTACATCTTTTATCTCAATAGAAATCTATTAAATATTACTTCACTGTTCTTTCTCTTTCACGTTAAATTATCTCAATTAAATATATTACAGATTTTCTTTAGTATAGGTGGGCAAACACCACCAACTCAGCAACTTCGCTATTAAAAATTAATAATTAGCGAAGCTTATTTCTTCTATCACCCACCTATACTAAAGAAGATCTGTGTAAGATGTTTATTTATAAAAAAAACATATACATTCTACCAACATCAAAATTCTCTATTAAATATTAATTTTCTGTTCTTTATTTATATGTTCAACTACCAATATATAACTGATAATTATTTATTAAATAATGTACATATTTTATTATAAATAAAATTTTATTAAATATCAACTCTGTTCTTTTAGTTATGTGTTAAATTACCAAGTGAAAGTTAGAATTGTAAAAAGCTAAAAATTATTGGCTTATTTTTTTTTTTAATACAAGAATATCTATTAAATGCGAAGGTTTCAATTAATATTATTGCATTGTTAGAAAAAAAATATTCTTTATTTTTTTTCAATTACAGGTTCCAATAACCTCTTCAAATTTCCAACGAATTCACTGCTTCATCTATGTTTTTTTCAGCCAATCAATAATATTGATCTTTAGTTCTTTCAAACAATTCATTTATAATTTGCTTAGTTTTTTCTGCATTTTTTTCAGCATCTGATCGTTGAATTAATGGCACTTCCACCAACTGGCACGATTGATATACCTCCAAACAACTTTTACTAAAGGTTTCTTGAAAGTAGTACTACACCTCAGATGTCAGAATACTGGAATTACTACAAAGTTGTTCATGAAAGATATGTTGACAAGGTAACATGTATTGGACGAAGAATTTACAAGAACACTCGGCTATTTTAAGATTAGGCATCTTTTTTCCTTCTTGTAATCTTTCTGAAATGGCATATGCTTCTTCTGCAATAAGTTTTTGTATAGGAAAAGGAAATTTTTGAATCTCAACAAGAAACTCAGGCTTGATGTTAGCGATTGAAATCTTCTTAGTCTGAAAATCAATTATAGCCATTTTGGCATCAAAATCCTTTTTGCTATCAAGTTCAAGTATCATCTTACACGCACCTATATAAAATATAATGAATCGAATAATATAACTTTGTAAATTAGCTAAGATTTATTCTATTAATATAAATAAAGGTCCTTAAAGTGTGACAGATCTATATTATTAAGCGAATAAAAAAAAAAAAAGTAAAGTAAAAAAGTACAGAAAACCCACTTTAAAAAAACTAATTAAGAATGTTATTTCTTACTCTAACTTTAAATTATTTTAATTTTTTATGATTAAATTCAGATAAAAAGGTTTTATAATCAAATTAACCATAAGATACGGAGTAGCATTTACTAATATCATTTATATAACATTCAATCTTGCCATCTATTCAGGCATTAATCTATTTATTTAAATTAATATAAATGATAAGTAAAGTTCAATTAATACTGTATAAAGGTAATGAAAATTTATAAAAATTTACTTAAGTTTAAAAACTTTAAGATTTTTAACTAATTGAACTTTTGTTCTAGTACCAATAATAGATAAAGTAATGCCCAGCAGATTCTTGATAACGAACGAATACTTTATATTCATATTTTATGTTCTACTAGCATCATCAATCAGCATATTTTTAACAGAAAATGAGTGCCTTATTTTTTTCAATTTCCTTTTTCTATCTAGTGATCTAAAAAATTTCATCAGAATTTCTCCTCTCAGAAAATTTTTGATAGCCGACACCTTCTTAAGTTCCATATCTATAAATTTAAATGTTTCACATATATCTTCCACCTTAGCAGATTTGCTTTATTATATTGATATACCATCAAGTATTCATTTGTTTCAGTGTCGTGAGTTATTCTATATACTTCATGCTTACTACCAGTTTCAAGTGTTTTTTAAACTTAAAAATCTATATAAATGAATTAGTATAATTATATTTTAACCAAACTAAATAATAAATAAATAAAATTTAGCTTACTTATTTTAAAAATTTTCATTAGCATATTGAAATGCCAACGAACATTTATTTGTTTTAGTGTCGTGAGCTAATTCATATACTCTGAGTTTACTACTAGTTATTGTACATTTCAGATGATATTTAAATATATGAGTGAATTAGTACATTATAAGTTTAACCAAACTAGACAATAAATAAATAAAAATTTTCATCAACACACCAAAATACCAACAAATATTTATTTGTTTCAGTGTTGTGAGTCAATCTATATACCCTAAGTTTACTACTGGCTATTATACATTTCAAGTGATTTTTAAACTTAAAAATTTATATGAATAAATTAGTATAATTATATATTTAACCAGATTAGACAATAAATAAAGTTTTAACTAACTTCTTTCAAAAATTCTTATCAAACATTGAAATACCAACAAGTATTCGTTTGTTTCAGCATTTTGAGTTAATCCATATACTTCAAGCTTACTACTAGGTACTATACATTTCAAATAATTTTTAAAATTAAAAATTTATATATGTGAATTAATACAACTATTATGTTTAACCAAATTATAAATAAATAAAGATGGGGTGTGGCGACCTAGTGAAGTGGATAGGTTGTCAACCCCCAAGTGGCAGGTCTAAGGTTCAATTCCCACGGAC